AAGCAGAAAAAGCTCTGTGTGAGGAAAAGAAACAAGCAAAGAGATGGATATCTAGCCAGAACTACGATCAGCGTCTCCAGCATTAACTGCACCTGCAGTGCTGGATTGGCGAAGAGCATCAGCAGCCTGCGGACAATTGGAGTGAAGTAGCGAAGCATGCAGAAACTATAAATTCATTGGAGGGTTTATACGCGGCTCGTGTGAGCCAGCCAGCCTCTTTCAGGAAAGGTCACCCTGTTTATCTGGCTTTAAAAATGTTAACTTCATTCATCAATAAACTTGACGCGATCTAAACATGGAGGAATCACTCGCGCTGTTTCCTCGACATTAAATCTAGTATTTACCATTGAAAATGTGCGCAGTGTTGAGCTATTATCGTTAATTTGTTTTACACGTGTGGTGTAGAGTAGGTAATATTATGTGTGGAATAATGAATTGTTATTCTTAATCCTTGAAAAGAATAATATAATTTTTCCAAATTAACATGTAGTCTTTTTATACAGTAAAATAGTCATCAAAACATGCTTAAAAATGTTATTCAGTCGTTTTCAGAGAAAACATTATTCATTCACTTTCTTGTTCAAATTTTAAACAGTGTAAGCATAAATCTAACAAAATCTTGCTTAAAATAAGAATAAACTATTCTGGAAATGGTAAAAAAAAAATTGTATTCTTTGTAAACAAGTTTATATTTTATTTATTATTTTATTTTAACTACAATAAAAGTTTATTTTATTTAATTACAAAAAACATGATATTGTGACTGTATGTTTTACAGTTACACGTCATTACATTTCTCCAAAACACTCCAATGTACATGATAAAAAAATCTTTAAATAAAACCCAAAGAAAGTAAATAAATAAATAATGTACTTATAAATTAAGTAATTTCTTAAAATACTTTTTACTTATAAAATATATATATATTTTGTGACAGAAAACACTGCTTATTATACTGTACATGAGTTTTGCATAAAAGAAACACATATTTATTTAATAGATGATGAACATCAGTTTTAATCTTATATTATTCTAGCTGCTTCCAATTATAAAGAAAGCATATGCAATCAATGCCAGACCCTTTCTGTCGCCTAAAATAGCTGCATGGTCATCACAATATTTTGGCAGCTTCTCTCCATTTCATACCAGCAGACTGATAGTCATCAATTCCAACTGCACTGATGGAAAGTGCCAGTACACACAGAGTTTCCTCATTGCCATATTTGAATATATGCATCTTCAAAGTTACAAGCATGTGAAATGTTTTTATACTGTACGTTTGCATTAATATTCCTTTCCCTGATGCGATAATCTCATCAACCATGTGCTGTCAGAACATCAGTCTCCCTTAAGCATGCTAATGTGAAGCACACTGCAGACAGCTGATCCTTAGAACATGAAAGTCAGCACAAAATCAAAGGCTTTACAGTCAGCTAGAGTCACACACAGAGTTAATATAAGAACTTGTCCCTTTTCAATGATCAAAAACAGTTTAACAACTCAGAAATGCTTGTTCAGTTTTTCATTAAAATGGTCAAGATTTGCATTTAGGCACATATGATGGTTATAAAGTGTATCTGTGACCCAAACAGCCTGTCTAACAACTAAGAACGTATTGAAGTTGACAGTAAAAAAGCAGTCTGCCCTGCCCTAACAGTCCCCCTACTCAGTAGCGGCTGCTTTAACAGAGCTAATGATGAGCCACTCCATTAAAACGCAACTCTGAGAAGCAAACTCTGACACGGAATGTATTAATCTTCAGCGTAATACACGCAACATTATGTTGAAGAAACAGGGTTGCGATTGAATGTGGGGTTTTCCTGAACAGAACTTAAAGGAATAGCTCACCCAAAAATGAAAATTTGCTAAAAATATATCGAAGATGTAAATGAGCGTGCTTATTGGAATGTATTAGGAGAAATTTAGCATTACATCATTTGCTCACCTCTGCAGCGAATGGGTGCCATCAGAATGAGAGTCCAAACAGCTGATAAAAACACCACAATAATCCACAAGTAATCCACATGAATCCAGTCCATCAGTTAATGTCTTGTGAAGCAAAAAGCTGCAAGTTTGTAATAAACAAATCCATCATTAAGATGTTTTTCACTTCAAGCTTTCCGGCGAAAATATGAGTCCTCTTTCCACAATATTGCTTTCTCCTGTGAATAAGTATACTCGTCTGAATCAGGAGAGAAATATGCACAGAACAAGCACTGTTTATACAGTCCAAACAAATAAACAAATATTGTAATGTTTTTATCATCAGTTTGGACTCTCATTCTGACGGCACCCATTCACTGCAAAGGATCCATTGTTGAGCAAGTGATATAATGGTTTCTCTAAATCTGTTCTGATGAAGAAACAAACTAATCTACAACTTGGATAGCCTGAGGGTGAGTACATTTTCAGTTTTGTGTGAACTGTCCCTTTAAAGCTTAGTTTCTTTAAATCTTATGTTTTAATGACAAATATTAAGAACATACAGTACCATAAACTGCAATCACAGACATGCTATCAGTTTAGAGCTCCTGCAGGTTAGTTTAGTTGGAAAATTCCAGCAGTTATGAACACTCAATCAGCTCTGTCTCTCGACAATAGCAGTATAAAATTTAAAAGTGGCCTCAGGACTTGATTTATTTCTTTAGACAGATAGCAAAAAGAAAGAAAAAAAAACAGATCAGCCAATAGTACCTGATAGGAAGGCACAGGAGAGGCCAGATTGTTTTGTCGAGTGGTGATAGTGCTTCTTGAAATTGGAATTTCCCCTGGAAAAGCTCTGCAAGAAGCTGAATATCTTGCACTGGACCTTATTTATGAAAAGATACTCACTGTGATTTATGCAGCGGTTTATTATCGTTACCATCCATAACTGTCCATAAAAACCCCAATCAAAGGATTTACTTATCAAAGCTTTAAAAAGCCTTTTAAAAGTGTATTTAATGACTTAGCATTCAGTATTGTGTAGCAACCAGCAAAGCTTTTTGTCCACAGTTTCACTTCAACAAGGCACTGTCAGAGGGATTTAAATGTAAATGTATACGCGCTAATCCTATTAGAGATCTTTTTGTTATATTTCAAAAGATGCTGCAAGACTTTGCAAAACCAGTTTAATATTTTTAACATCCAAAATCACTCAAAATTCAGCTCACCGATTGGTTATTTTAGGGATGACTAATGACAAAATGGCAATTATGTAAATAAGGGCTTATCTTGCTTACTGTATGCAACACAACAACTGCAGAGTTCAGTTGCTTCCGCTCATGCGCAAAAAAAAAAGAAAAAAGAAAATGTGCATCTAATGAACGTAATTCATTCTTCTTTCCTTAAAAAGCAACGTATTAATGAAAGGTGTGAATCTCTATCATTTGAATTGAGATAAGCAGGATTGTGGTTCTGCTGCTCTGAGTTTGTAATTAAAAAGCGCAGGGGAGATGGGATACCAGTCATGTATACACATATTAATAAACACCACATTCTTGAACAAATGAGAAACAAAGATTGTATAAGTATAGCCGCACTGAATGCAATTAACCTTTTCTGATGCATATATTGAGAGGAAAAAACTAATTTGACTCATTTTTCTATACTGTGTTAATGTATTTCCTGTTGAAACCAAGTTGAGTTATAAAAAAAACAGCATTGTGACTTGCTACAGCAAATTATCATTCTTGAGAACATTTGATTGGACAAAATGTGGGAGTGCAGGATGAGTCATCAAAATGTCTGTTTTGTCTGGTTACCAACATTCTTTAAAATATCTTATTTTGTATTCAACAGAAGAAATAAACTATACAGGTTTGGAACAACTTAAGGGTAAATAAGAATAAATTCAACAAAACAGTATATGTCTTCAAAACATCTGGCTTGACTGAGAGACCGAAAAGCTTTGTTTTTCAGGTATATTGTAAAGCACTTGCTCAGAAACCTTATGAACCAAAACCCGTCTTACCCCTGCTGATGCCTGCCAGTTTCAGGTTGAATTTTAAGATAGAATCGAGGTTAAAGGAAGGTGAGTGCTGAGAGGCTGTCAGTTTTCCATGTAATGCTTAACTTATCACTGTGACACATTATTCACCATAACGCTTGTGCCTCAAGCTGCCTTACCACATTTTCCCACTAGAGGAATAGCATTTATGAGCTAAAGGAATTGTTGAATAAAGAGTGCCTTTGTGTAAAAGGAGTCAGGAACACAACATAACAGGTGTCTTTTCTTACCCAACAGCCTGTACCAATATTCTGTAGACCATTAAACTTAAAAGTAAAGATAAACAAACCTTAGAAGCAGAACATGAGCGATGAAAAACTTGATTTAGAATGTATTGTATTGCTGATAAGCAAACACTCTAAAAATACGTCTTCTGGAAGCACACACATCAAATAGATTAATCAGTTATCCATTGTATAGTGAAAATGACCTCAGAAAACTGTAATAGGCTACTACCGTAATATAATTGCTGCGTTGGTTGTTGCTAGGCAGATGGTTTTCCACCCTTTTTTAACGTAAGAGTGTGCACGGCCCTTTGTAACTTGAATGTGCGAGGTTATCCGGTGTCATTCGCTGCCAGTTAAACAGCTTATTAGGAGCTGACTGGTGTTTCTTATCATATTAATTTAATGTAGGCCTAATTTGTAAGCATCCACCTGGATGATGCGACAGCAGCCATATTGCGCCAGAACGCCCACCACACACTAGCTTATTGGTGGAGAGGAGACAGAGTGATGAAGCCAATCAGTGTACAGTCTTGCACATTCAAAGAAAA